GCCTCCCCAGTGCCGAGCCCAGGGCTCAGATACAGTTCTTACGGTACCGGGGTAAATAGCATTTTCCTGTTTGAGTTCTAGCCTGTGTGTGACGGTGTCCAGCAATTCAGAAACTCACAAATTGTACTATTTCAGGTGGAAGAGAATAGGTTTATCTGTTTGTGAATTCTTGTGTGTAACTCAGGGTAGATTCTGAGCTGCAAAAATGCTATAGTATGTATTCAGTTGTGTGGAGTTATATTTTAAAGATGCTTTCAAACATCATTACAGCATTTTTCTTTTGTCTAGAACAAGTTTATTAACTCTTTAGAACTTAAAAGTGAGGAATGGATTTCTTGGGATTTTTTAGAAAATGCCATTAATCTGTATAACAAAGATAACAAAAACAATAAGCAGAAATGAGGAGAGAAAAATAAGCAGAACTCCACCCTCTGACAGAGAACTGATAGCATTTTCACATTCTCCAAGCCCTGTGTTGGTCCAGTCATTGGAACGCTTTTAGCTGAATACTGTGGGTGTCATGTTGGGCTGGGAAGGACTCAAATTAGCCTATGATGACAACCCTTGTGACCTGCAGTGACTGATGGCCTGGATTAAGTATAATGGGATCCACCAGATGACTGCAGTGACTTCAATTTGGATGCTAACCAGCATTCCCTTCTGGTTGGCAGTTCTTTTCTTAATGTGGTATAATTGCGTTTAACGTTTGGTAAACCATTACAGGATGGGTAGCAAGAATCGGATGCTAAATAAAGACACAAGCACCTGTCACGATAAGTTAGCTCACCTAAAACAAAGGTTAAATGCAGGCATTTTCTGCTAAAACTAGGGCTGAGAGTAAGGATGTGCAGTTTCTTGTTCTCAGACAGAGGGAAGTTGTTTGCCCACTCCCAAACTTCTTGTCACAGATATCAGCAACATTAGGACTAGTCTTCTGCTCTTACATTGCCAAAGAGTTTTGTTTAAGATGATGTAGAGTTGGGTGTTAAAATAAGATCCATGGAAAGGAGAGAAACTGAAAGGAAAAGCATTGGCAGAAGCGGGATTAGTCCATCACGGCATTGGGGGGCTCTCATGGTGGTGAAGGAGGAATATTGCCTTCAAACAGGGATACCATTTTTTCTAGTAGAACTTTACAAGCAGAGAAATTATGCTTGGATTTTACTTGCTTTTCAGTATATTTGCAAGCACAAGTAGATCTTGTTTTGCCCCCATTGACCTGCCTGCACGCACATCAATTAGTTAAAACAGCAGGTCATTTGATACGCGGCCAAGCAGCATTTGAGTGCTTGTAAGGGGCAAGCTCATTTTCAGCAGGGCTAAATACATATTCCTCTAAACAGCATGATAAAAACTGGGTTTTGTTTTCATTCCAGTGTCTTAAGACCATCATCCTGTTGGTCAGGCTATATTATTTTCTCAGGATAGGAATATTTGGAGGCATGAAATAACAGTTACTGAATTATGCATCAGTTTGGAGCTGTGTAAAATTGGCTTTTGAAGTAAAACCACAAGGACTTTTACTGGTTGCTCCTGCTAAAGAACCCAGTTACGACTCGTGTGAGGTGTTTGAAGAGTTTGGACAATACTGGTCAGACCACTACTGCAAGCATTTCTGCTCGGCGGTTAAATTCCAACAGTTTTACAGTCATCTTTGGAAATTTTAAGTTGTTTTGCATGTCGTTATTACTGTTCTTTTGTACAATTTACCGAGATGCAAGGGAGAACTAGAGAAAACATAACTATATTAGTATGGTGTTAAGCACTATATAGAAATACACATAAGTATGTATTAGATGCTTTAAATTCTTTAAAAATTTTATCATCCAAGTGGTTACTTTGACACATTTCTATATGAGCTTGAGGAAATTTGTGTTTCTTTTGCCACAATTAATATTTTCTGGCAATCTCTTTATGAGATTCAGCAAATTAAGCCGCAGGAGGCTTTTGAAATATGATACATAGAGTTCAGCAGATTGATCTTCCGGATTGCCTTTCTTTTGAGGACAGCTTTGATGATCTAATGGCTCTTTTTTTATCTCTCAGTTATTCTTGCCTTGTGTTTGAGGAGGAACTAAAGTACAATTTTTTAAAGTTCGGATACTGAGTTGAGGCAGCAGTAGTCTTATTTATTGTTTTACTTGTACTCACACGTGTGTACAGCATGCGGTTTTGTATTTATGCATTTACATAGATGTCTGAGCTTGTGTCCCAGACGTATTTTTTCCTGCATCATTGTTGTATATTGGGAGATACTTTCAAGAAT